GGGCGGGCTCCCGCTGCTGCGGCCGCTTGTGCGGGCGCCGGCGGCGCAGAGCGATAGCTCCAGGGGATCTCGCCTCGCGCGGGAGCGCGCAGCCGGCACCTCCTGTCTCCGGGTGTCGGTAATTACCGGAAAGCGGCGGCACCCGGGAGAAAAGGCTCCTTAGAAAGTAATTAACTTCCCGTCTTTTCTTCCTAAGAGTGGGAAAATAGCCCTTGTTGGCCTCTTGTGCCTTCAGGCATGGGATATTGCAGACACAGGCAAGCAAGGCAGCTGGGACACATGTAGGCAGTGCTTATGGTAGTCCCGTGTGATTTCTAAATGCCCAATTTTCTTCCACTTTATTATTATTATTATTATTCAGATCTTTGGTCTTTTACAAAGATGAAGGGAAACTTACTCTTTTTGTGAATAGAATTAAAACATTAGAAATACCTACCTAGTTCCAGGAAACTTGAGCTTGATAGTATGACAAATCCAAAGTTCTTGTCTCTTAGTTACCCCTTTTCACTGCTGGGTTGTGTTGTGTGAATTTTTAGTCGCTCTGCCATGTAACTTGGTTATTTTTGGTGGTGACATAGTGCACGCAGTGGAAGAACCTTGTCGGGGGTATCAGGCTCTGATCAAGCAAAATATAAGCCCTCTAGTGGCATGAATTCTAGTGTGTTTGAGCAGTATTTATGTCTCCTGGGAACCAGCAGAGAAACAAATATGTGTTGTGTAGTTGTGCTTTTTTTCCCTTTGGCTTAAGCTCAAAACCGTTTGTTTTTTTTTCCCTTTTTTTTTTTCTTTCCTTTAAGGTCCCTATTCAATAGGAATGTTGCATGTAACCATATTTTGGAGTTCAAACTTTTTAGTGCAGTCCTCATTACTCAGAAGTGCCTGTGCAGGCAGATCCTCACTAGAAGTTTTGCCCTTTCCTGTTTCAGGAGCTGTCTCTGTCAGTTTACATCATTACATATAAGTAGTTTTAGAAATCCTGTGCATGTTCTGTAACTGCTACTTTGATTTATTTCCTAGAATGGTGAAAATTTCTGCATTCTGGATGAGCAGAGGTTTGCTAAGGAGCTACTTCCCAAATACTTTAAACACAACAATATCTCCAGCTTCATACGTCAGCTTAACATGTGTGAGTATGACTTGTTTTTATGCATTCTTTCTGCCAAGCTCATTGCTGCTTGGCATTAATTTGTGTTTCTTTAATCAGAACAATTGACTTGGCAGATTCCTGGAAACCTGAATTCTGATCTTGAGCTTCTTTTGTAAAAGGGAATGATAACAACAGAACCTGGCTTAGTCTTTTTTTTTCTGTATTTCAGCTTTGAGTCTCCTTAAGTAATGACAATAAAATACTGTTTCACGTGCTAGTACCTAAAGCTTAAGTAGGTCAGTTGGCTGCAGTAGTGATGTTGATGGCAACAACAAAATAATAGCAAACTTGTACATGTTTGGAGGAGCAAAGGCAATATCTTACCCCCATGCATGAGGCAAATTGCCTGGATCATGCTGTTGCTTGTATTGCTGTGTTGAAGCAGGATTAGCTGTACTGATAGATAGACGTGGACTAACATCTTTGTTTATGTTTTCTGTGCTCTGCTTCTGAGCATGATGTATTAGCTATATGATATTGTAAATGTACAACCTGTACAAGCAAGCATATTGGAGTGGGATGGCAGTTCAAAGACAGTACAATATGCAGGGCTGCAACACACCTCAGAAATAGTTGCTTTGCAATAGATATTTTACGGGCCAGGTAAAGGTGAAAATTGCATAAAAATGGTCCTTTTATTTCAAAAGTCCATTTGAGGTGGGGGGGATTATGTGACTAAGCAAATCATTTTCAGGGAACAAAAGAATCAGAAAGATCCTCTAGGTATGAACCAAAGCTCTTCAGGAGCTAAGTTGGGTATTCTGGCATCCAACTACCTGTATATATTCTCTATCTCTTTACTCTGTTCTATACAAATAAAATCTCTATTTTTTCTTTCAAAACTTCTGCTGTGTCAGTAGGCTAGAAATGTTTCAATTCTTTACACACTTCCTTGGCAGAGGGGGAAGGATAGGATTCATCATATAGGTTTGCTGAAGTTAGTTAATTTACAGCACTGCATTGATAATAATGCTGTGCTGTGGCTTAGTCATGGGGAATTGTTGAGCTACCTCATGCATGTTCATTCTATCTCGGATGTGAGAGAGAAAATGATCGTTTAGATCCTGGGCATAGTGGGGACGCTACTGTTTGTGTCAGGAGTTGAGATTCCAGTGCCTGAGTGTCAAAGGATAATGTAAACAAGCAACTGTCAGTTGTCTCATAGCAAGATTAAATGGCAAAGATGTGTAAAGACAGGCAGCGGCACGGAGGGCTTCCTTCCCTGCTTGGTTATTCCGGGTTTGAGTAATGTTGTCTATGATAATGTGTCCTAGGTTCACTGCATGTTAATATCACTAAACATGTTAAAAACTTCAGTGAGGAGAGAGATATGGATTACTTAGTCAACTGTATTTTACATCTACCCTGTGGTATTTAAAGCAGTGTTGGAAATACAGCTTACAACGTGTTTTTTTTTGTTTGTTCGCTTTTTTCTTTTTTTATATATAATGCGGACAGTCTGTGTGGTATGAAAAGATGAGGCTGAGACCTAATTTCTACTCCTTAAATTTTTCTGTAGACCCTCTTGGTACATGACATTCCACTGCCTCCACTGGGACAAGGCTTTATTCACGACTTCCTAATAACACTCCCTTCTGATTAACTTCCCTGAATGTTTGAATATCCCTGTGCTGCTGATAGGCTTTTGCCTTGCGTGCTGTTTGTGCAGCCTTTGCCAGGATCGTTGGGCAGTTTTGCCGGAGTGTTCCCCAGCAGGGGGACTGGAGCTGCTGAAATGACTGAGCACCAAAAAAACTGTGTAGCCTCTTTTTCATAGTTCCTACTCCTTATAACTATTACAATGGGTATTTTGGTACTTTGAGGTTTTTCTTTAGTTCTGTGTTGTAAGTCATCTTTACATTGAAATAAATATGTATATATTTAATCCCTCTTCACAGATGGGTTCAGGAAAGTGATTGCGCTGGAGAATGGTATGATTACAGTGGAGAAAAATTCAGTCATTGAGTTTCAGCACCCTTTCTTCAAGCAAGGAAAGGCACACTTACTGGAAAACATCAAGCGCAAGGTATAATCCAAGAGTGAATTTCTTTTGTTTTTTGGAGGTTTTTCTTTTTCTTTTTTTCCTCGAAAAGCAGCTTATGTAGAGCAAGTCCAGGGATCATCAACACTTTAAAGCAAATAATTGCATGTGAACCAAAGGTAGCATCAAGCCTGAGCAGCAGGAAGCTTTTGTAACTCTTCTGAATTCTGGGAATGCCCAGCTTGAGGCTTGGCAAGGTATCCCCACATCAGCTCTTCGACAAAACTCTTCCTGCTGTTCTTTAAGAAAGCAGTGGAGGAAGATCCCAGTCCTTATAGCCAGCGAACTAGATCCCTTCTCCATCCGAGTTCACACACACAGTTATGGCTTCAATTTTATTGGCATAGCAGAATTGTGAAGGGTCTTAGAGTGAAAGAAGGAGAAGAAATACAGTGCCCTTTTCTGCTCGCTGAGAACAAAAGCTACAACAAGGATAGCAGAAATCACTTAATTTGGGCAAGTTTGTGTAAGTGATGATGTTGCCCTGAAAGTATGTTGCCACTAAGCTGCATCTTTGTTAGTTCTTTCCAGTTTTCTCTTGTCAATTCAAGTCTTGTCTGACCTGTTTTGGCACAATAATTTATTCTCTATTTGGTCGTTACAAGCCATAATATCTTGGCTGCCAGAGGAGACTCATGATATATCATGCTGACATTCGAACTGCAGGGTCTTTTCTTTGGAACATCATAATGTGGTGTCTCCATTGCCCACATTAATAAGAGCTCAGTGTTGGCTTGAGGATTAGCCTGGAGAGTCACAATTGCATTTTGATTGATCCTTCACTGAACTATCTGTGCTCCGAATCACAGTCGATCAAATATAGCTGTACAGTTGCTGCTCTGAGTCAGGCCTCCTCCTCTCTTCCCAGACACTGTAATTGCCATCTTGTCTTAGCTTGCCCACCTCACTTTCTGGTATGTTGGGACAGTCAGCTGATGGCATTATGTATGGCAGCAGGTATCCCAGGAGTGTTGCTTTGGGTGGAGTGCTCTAGATGGAAGACAAAAGCTTTATTTAGTGCCAAGGACATTGGCATGGAGCTGCTGAGTGGGCTTGGAAATGTATTCTTCATTGGACAGGAATTGTTGGTGATTTTGTAATGGGTAAGACCTCCGTCAGTTTTTCCTGTGCTTTTACAGTCTGGAATGGAGTCAAATTTCAGCACTTACTGTGAACTGGTTTTCAAACCTTCAACAGGAATTCCAGTTTGAATGCAGGATTTCCATATGCATAGTTAAAATCCCTATTTAGGGAATCAGCACTAGGACTGCTATGCATCTGTCTTGATGCCCTCACTAGTTATAGAGTCTGAAGAGAGCAGCTCCTGGCACTCAGGTGAAACTGAGTTGTTGTTCTCTTTTTTAGATACAGGCTGAGAGTATTTGAAATTTCCTTGTGCTGCCTGCATCTTTTTGGTGGCTTGCCTGTACAGTTGCTATGTTGAAGAGGAAAAGGACAGTCATGATTTCATTTGGGGTACAAAGTATGTACCCAACTACAACAAATGCAGAGATATCAAAGAGTGTAGACAGAGTGGAATCAGGGCACTGGTTCCATCCTTTGCAACACTGGAAAATATTAGGAAACCTGTTAATTACTTCTGTGGAGTGATTACATAATAATTCCGTTCTATTTCATGGTGGAGTGATGGGCTGTTATTTTATAACAGTGTAGGTTGATCTCTGTCCAGCCATATTTTCTGCCTTTTTTTTAAGGTATGTTCACAAAACCTGAACATTCATATATATGATGAACCAGACCTATCTTTTTTTACAATCTTGGATTCCATATTAGCCATCGCTGTCACCAGCTCAGAAAAAAAGATTCTGCAGGAAATGGAAAACTTTGGATATGGGAGTGTTGCAGGGAGGAGAGTGAGCTGTTTGCTTTCTGATGACTTGCATCATCATTGGAAAGACCAGCACTGATAGATTCTTCCGTGGGCAGAAAACCAATTTGCGGGCAGACAAGTCTCCATGATTTTGGAATGGCACTGGGTAGAGAGATCATAGAGGAAATGGCAATATAGGAATCTGCAGGTCAGCTGATGTGAGATAAATTTTCAAGCAAGTAGGATCCATCTAATTAGAACCAAATGTTTCGCTTTGTTTTTTCTTAGTAATTGAACAGAAACTTGTGATCCCTGTGCTCGAAGGGTTACCCATAGCCCTGAAGGATGTGCCTGTTGCATTACTACTGCACAAGCACCTTGGGTATTTTGTTGATGACAAGTGACTTACCCTTTAGCACAAGGGGGCAAGCTTTCCCCAGGCCGTTGGACAGAACTGTGAAGGAAAGGCTATTTAGAATTAGTGATGCATTTTTGCCATGAAG